TCCAGTATCCACAGGGGGCTTGAAACCAATCCCCAGCAGATATGGGGGTCCTGCTGTATTTTAATAGGGCTATCGAAAAACAGACCGTTGGTTCAGTACAAAAAGGCAGTTGAATGCTTGACAGACAGGACATTGTGTGTTTCAGTAATTTAGGACATGTACTGCAGCTAGAACATAGCACGATGGAGTTATGTTTAACAGACTAGAGAAAATACTTGCAGAACCTGGAATATGCAGAGAAGAAATCATAGCTGTAAGAGGAGTGATAATGAAGAAGACTTTGACTGTTGGTATATTGTTCGTACTGGCACAGGGAACCGCCAGCCTATGGTTTAAAAAGCGAGCCTTAGCCTAGATCTCCTGACTGTCCTCACCTATAAACTGCTCAGCAAATCATATCCAAGTTACTGTTTTCTTTGTTCAGTCTTGCCCTCTTCCCAGCAGCAAAACTGATGGAGGCGACATTGACCTAGTTTGGAAAAAATAATGTCTGGGTGCAGTATCCTCTTTTCCTTGGGAACTGAAGAGTCACATACTTCATCCTAACCACTTCTGACTCTGGTCTTGCCTATGTGTGGAATGTAGGAAACTCTCCCCAGAAATGGTCTGACATAGCTAGATTGGGAGGGGGAGGGTTTCCTACTGCTAATGAAATAGTTAGGTCCAGAAATACCGTAATTAGACACTGACACAATTTTCATAATTCTGACTCTGTATGCCACCACAGTGGATTTGAAATGAAACAACTGAGGATTGAAATGCACACTTTCATCTTTAATTCAAGGGTTTAAACAAAAATATTGTACGAAACGTTTAGGAATTGCTACCATTTTCACACATAGTCCCCTTATTTCAGGGGCTCAAATATAATTGGACAAATTAACACCATCATAAATAAAATGTTTATTTGTAATGCGTTATCAAGAATCCTTTGCAGGCAATGACTGCTTGAAGTCTGGAACACATGAAGCTTATGAATGATTTGCACCTTGTGGTGACCCCTCTATTTTCTCTTGTGAAGTCTTATCTTTGTGGTAGACTCTGATAATATGTCTACATTCTGGAGAGTGTTCTTCATTTGGCTGGATGTTGTGAAGGGGTTTTTCTATTCCATGGAAAGGATCCTATGATTATCTGCCACTGTTGTCTTCCGTGGACATCCAGGCCTTTTTGCGTTGAAAAGTTCACCAGTGCATTCTCTTTTTTTCCAGAATGTTCCAAACTGTTGATTTGACCACTTCCAATGCTCGTGCTATCTAATGGATTTCTTTTTTTCTTTTCTTTTCTTTTTCAGTTTAAGGATAGCATAGAGAGTTCCTTTGAACGTATGTTGTGGGTTTACAGCAATAGCTTCCAAATGTGATTGCTACACCTGGAATCAACTCCAGACCTTTTACTTGCTTTATTGATTATGAAATAATGAAGGAATAATCCACACTTGTCCATGAAATAGCTTTTTAAGTCAATTGTCCAATTACTTTTGGTCCCTTGAAAAAGAGACAGCTACATATTACATAACTGTACTGTAATTCTTAAACCCTTCTTCCAATTTGGATGTGAATACCCTCACATTTAAGGTGAGAGACTACACTTAAAGCCCATTCATTATTTAATTGTAACTTGAATTTATTTTGGTAAATAGCCAAAATAACAAATGTGTGTCAGTGTCAAGTTATTTTCAGACCTGATTGTAGAGCTCAAATGACTGATATTTAAGGGATCTGGCAAAAAAAGAACATTCCTCTTTCTCCACAGAATGGTATGCATGTGACGGGTTTTTAATTTATTTTATATGTTAGAAGTCAAAACTTGGCAATTAAATAGGTGATTCTGGACAAGAACTGAGGATACTACAGGCCATAGGAGTTTAGTGGCCAAAATGTTAGTGCTTTAAATAATTAAATAATACTGTAGTATATTGAGGCTGTGAGTGTAAGCGTTGCTTGGTTTCATTCTATAACTGAAACATGTTCATACAGCTGTACAACCGGTACCTATCCAAAGCTGTGGTTTTCAAAACATTTATTGGAGGTTTTACAACTTTATTATGCAGCCAAGCTCCATCAATTTCCTGCCCCTTGCCAAACCAACCCATCAGAGTAAGGCTGTATCAGGTTAAATACTTCGAAGTTGGGTAAATTTCAAATACAGTAAATGAATATTTCTTATCGTAGAAGCTCTGAAGGTAAGAATTATTAGCATTCTTGCCAAGATCACATAAAAGCATTTCTCCATTTGTTTTGTTGCAGAAAAAATATGAAAAGAAAGACATATATAATCTCAATGAAGAGGAAGACTTAACCCACTATGGTCATTCTTTAGCAAACATAGAAAAATTTGACGATATTGTCAATAGTGATAGCGATACTGAAGAAAGAGGAATACTGTCAGGTAAGAGGCAAATAGGTGCAATGTAATGCATGCATTTAGTGGTTATGGTTTATTGTAGATCTGTGTGTGTCCATTTGAGTTCAAAGGGGGGAATGCTGAGATGCAAACACCTGTAAATACCAATAGTTACAGAAACAGCAACAAAAGTATTATTTCATTTTTTATGTGTATAAATTTTAGCTATGTGTAGAAATAAGTATTTTTAAAATTGAAAAGAGTAAGTAAAATTGCATTTAAATTTGATGTTTACATTTTTTTTTAATGTTGTGCTCCTTGCATAAATTGTGGCTTCCCATACATCAGTTTCCTATTACGGTTTTAGTTGTGTGTGTACTTAGCTGGCAATAGGATCTGAAGAACCCAATGCTACTTACTTTTGCGTATGTATGTATGAATAGAATTAAAGTATAGAAGAAAATCTTTGGACTTCTGTACCAAATATAGAAACTGTTAGCTAAGGTTGTTTTTCATAGTTGACCTATTTCCTTGACAAGTAGTTTTTTTCATTTTTAGCGGACTTAACAGCCACTCACTTTGGGGGTGGTGGCCTTCTTCGTAAGAAAACATCTATAGAACAGCAAGATGAGGAGAATAAAAAAAAGTCAAGGAAGGAGCTTATTGAAGAACTGATTGCAAAATCCAAACAGGAAAAGGTAAACTTAGAATTTCTGATAGGATAATTGAATTTTTTTCAGACAAAATACACGTGTTTACAAATTTTTATGAGTTTCCCGTTTTTCATTTAATTCACCTGTTCTCAGTGATTTAAAGAAATTCTTAAGCTTCTCCTCGTGTGGAATTGGTTCAATATATATCACTTGATGAATAAAACCTATAAATAATGGCTTAGATGCATGAATGGCCACTGAGAATTAACATTTTTATGTTGTTTTATATCCTCACTAGACTTAAATTCAAATGTGTTTCTTGACCAAGGCTTTTCAGTTATAGCTTTCCATATGATTATGAACTGGAATTTCACAAACCCTTCACCTTTAGTTATGCTTGTTATGGCTAATGGGAGCAATAGATCAAAACCTCTAGGAGCCCTGTCCACCCTCAATTAGACAGTTGTCTTGCATTCAGGTGCAGAAAAATTGAACGTGGTGTACACCAAATTCAAATAATTTTCATATCTTAAAAATCCAGTTTTGACTTTCTGTCTTAATTTTTCACTGTATGTCACTTCATTTTTTCATAATATAGAAGAGAGCGATCTATATGCTAGATGGTTGTTGTATAGTAACTCAGTTGTCACATTTATTGTATTTTTTTTCCTCAGAGAGAGAGGCAGACACAGAGAGAGAATACAGAAGAACTTACAGAAAAACTTAATACTGAATGGAAAGAAATTCAAGAGCTTTTGTTCCATAAGACGTCCAAGTCACAGACACAAAATCAAATGGAGGAAAAGCCCAAGGTATGTGTTTCTGACCTCCTTGTTCTGTGCTGCCTTTTCCAAAATAATGTTCTAGTTTTCTGTGTGTTAATTATTCAGGCTTCCATCTGAGCTCCTTTAACACTAACCTAATTCTCTTTTCCAGTTACTGGTGGTCTTTATTATCATTCATTGTGAGTGGGTGTGTATCAAGGATGACATAGATGTTGTGGTGCCACACTCCCCCAGTCTAACTGACTTGTATAACATCTAGCAGATGTGTTTTTATTCTGGAATTTACTTCCGCACATCCCACTTCCCAAATGCTTGCTGTGTACCTGAAAATGGAGCTCTTGGGAAATGTGAAACATGGCTACCCTGGCAGTTTGTGTTGAAAGGATGGTGTAGAAAGTTCTTTGGCAAGACATTTTAGTCAATATTTTAGCTGAAAGCAAACGGAAACTGAGATATAACACTTTCACAGTATTCAGTTAATAAGAGATCTCTCACATAGGTTGTTCCTATGAAACACAGTAAGCATGATTAAGGCAAAGACTTCAATTTGGCTGTGGCAGAGGTATGACCAACTGCCTTCTAATTGCTTCTTCTGGAGTGTCTTCTCCAGGGCACAAAGCCTGGGTAAAATAATATGGAGGATAGGCTGTTACCCAACCAGCAAATCCCCCCTCTCCACATCACTGAAATAGGCCAATGGAAAGGCAAGAGCCAATACAACTGGTTCCAGCGACATTGCAGGAGTTGACAGAACGACACAAACTGTCTCTGGGACTCTGGCTCCGGATTTTGCCTCGAGATTAACTCCTGAAGCCTTTTCCATCAGTGGATATAGTCACAAGGCAGTGGAGGTTTGAAATCGGAGTTTTCCTTCTCCTAGATGGGCTGTCTTCCAGGGCTGACAAGTCCCACCTATCCAGTCCTATTGGCCATTCCCTCTTTATTGTAATGGCTATTGAATTTTAACCAGAGGCTAAATTTATTTTTCACTAAATCACACAGTTGAGTGCATGAGTCATAGAAAGTCCCAGTTCACACATTCCCTTCTTCCCATGTGGACAGGAAGAGATGTTGAGGAATATACATTTATAGTTAATCCAGACAGGGTGTGGTTAGTTTCAAAAAGCCAGAAACTACAGTTGGAAAATGATGAGTTTGAATTTGACCCTATTAGTATTGACCACAATTGAGTGTGACAGAGTTAACTACATCCCAGATTGCTTGCTTCAGAAGCCCAGCTAGATAGGAAAAGGAAAACAGAGAGAAAAGCATGCAAGCCTGTTGCTTGCTGTAATTCATTCTCGCATATAGTATGCTAAACTTCAGTTTATCATCATGAGCAAATATTACTAGTATGGTAAGCAAGAGTGGGAATCACACAGATTGTAGGCCTCTCAGTTCATTTGTCCCCCTGTCCCGTTTTTTGGCACAAATGGAGAATTGTGACTCCTGGAAATCTCCGAGAACATGATTTTCCTTTTAAACAAGGTACCATCTACCATCCATCTTGTTTATCAGAGCTGGGATTTACAAAATCTGGAAATAGAAATGCATGAGTTTTGGTAGGGAATTGGCATCTCTCACACTGAATCATGGGGGCTGAATCATGCGTTAAAATATATTTGGGAGGCATTGATGCAACCCTAGAATTTGTCTGCCATTGAGTGTTTTGGCTTTGATTGCATTGGGAGAAAAGTGATTAATAATTATAATTATAGTTTGTATTTATTTATACTGCACTCTATACCAGAGTGCATTCCAATAGTCAAAAACAGTTAAAATACAAAAATGACATAATTACAATGATTAAAACATACAGTAAGCAATTATCATTCAATAAGGCAATAAACAATCAAAATAACTATAGTAACTATATAATAATTAGACTTCAGTAATTCTGTCCCAATAATTGCCTATTTCCATGGTCAACCCCTATTGTTCCAAGTTGCGCAAGTAGGTTTTTATTAATTCATTTGAATTTGTCCAACTCTGGTTCCACACGAAGGTCTTGCAGAAGGGAATTCCATAATTTTGGGACCAGATGAAAAAATGTGCTAAGTCTGGAGTTAGTCACCTTGGTCCAAGGGACTAGTAAGAGACCAGAATCCGCAGATCGAGTCCTCCTGCGAGGAATATGCCACCCCACAAGTTCCGCTAAATAACTAGGGCAAGAGAAATGTAATGGATCCTATGAGTTTCCATGGTTACTGGATCCTGTGAGATACCAGGATACCATGAGAGGGGTTCCAGCGGCACTGTCTGGTGCTCCTGTCGAAGCTCTGGTGGACGGTTGGTTCTCCACTGCTACTAGGGCTGTTGACACGATCGCACCCAAACGCCCTCTCAGGAGCAGAGCTCGGCCAGGACCCTGGTATACCCAGGATCTACGAGCAATGAAGCGAATAAGGAGATGGCTAGAGTGCGTGTAGAGAAGGAAACCGACGGATTACAATAAAATTGCTGTCAGAATCGCAACTAACCGTTACCTGGCTAAAGTAAAGGCTGCTAGAAGATCTTACATCGCTGACCGGATAAG